AGAGATGGAAAGAGAGAGAATTCCAAGCAGGCTCCACACTGTCAGTTGCAGAGCCAGATAGGGGCTCGAACCCACAGACCATGAGATCATGACCTGTGAGGAAGTCGGACACTTAACCAACTGAACCACCCAGGCAACTCTCCCTCTACATTCTTAAAGCGGGGACTTTATTGATTCAAGACCTTTCCTCTTTTTGCATATATGTATTTAGTGCTATAAATTTCCCTGTCAGCGCTGCTTTAGCTATGTTTCACAAACTTTGATACATTGTATTTTCATTTCCCTTCAGTTCCGTGTATTTGTTTCCCTTGAGACTTCTTTGACGTATCCATGAATTATTTAAACATATGTTCTTTAGTTTCAAAGTGCTTGGAAATTTTCCTGTTATCTTTCTGTTAAATTTCCGGTTTGATTCCATCATGGACAGAGACTATACTCTGTATGATTTCACTTCTTTTAAGATTGTTGAGGGTTTTTTTATGTCCCAGATATGGTTGGTCTGTCTTGATATATGTTCTATGGGCACTTAATTTTTTTTTAATGTTTATTTATTTTTGAGACAGAGAAAGACACAGCGCTAGCAGGGGAGGGAGAGAGAGAGGGAGACACAGAATCTGAAGCAGGCTCCAGGCTCTGAGCTGTCAGAACTGAGCCCGAGGGAAGGCTCAAACCTAAAAACCACAAGATCGTGACCTGAGCCCATGTACGACACTTAACTGACTGAACCGCCCAGGCACCCTGTGGGCACCTAAAAAGAGAATGTATTCTGCTGCTTTGCATGGAATATTTTACACATATCAAAAGGATACTTGTTTAAAATATGAAACATGAAATAAGAAAGTGAAATATTGTCTTTTTGGGCGTGCCTAGGTGACTCAGTGTTAATGTCCAGCTTCAGTTCAAGTCATGATCTCAAGGTTCATGGGTTCGAGAGCTGCGTCGGGCTGTGCTGACATGTGCTGACAGCTCAGAACATGGAGCCTGTTTCAGATTCTGTGTCTTCCTCTCTGTCTCTCTCTCTACCCCTCTGCTGCTTGTGCTCTCTCTCTCTCTCTCTCAAACATAAATAAATGAACATTAAAAAAATAAAATAAAATGAAAATTATTTTCCCTGTTTGTTCAGACCTATTCCTTACTATCCCATCAGTTTATTGGTCACTGGCTTCTCCTCCATTTATCTTAAGTCAGTGTTATTCTACTTTTCACACTCTGATATCAGATCCTTATCTTAATAACATTGAGATACTTTAATAGTTATGCCATATGGGAAACCATAGCACATAGATGAGAACAGCCTTATTCTGCATATTCAGAGAGCAAAGGGGGCATCCTGGACATGAGTGATTGGAGCTCAGATCTGTAGGTCAGTTGTTGAGCCAGTATTCCAGGTAGTAGAGATTTAAAGGTAGCACTCTTTGAATGTGGAGTTAGAATGCTTTGAGGACTAGTTTGGAGGATGTGTTTGCCCTCATAAATATGTGCTGAACTGAAGAGGTGCAAGGTATGCACTGATGTTTTAGTGAAGAATTAAAGATGCTAAACAAATCATTACTTGATTGCCATTGTCTGTGTCCCCACTACCCCGTGAATGCTATATTTCTATTATTCAGTACTGTATCACCAACATCAAGCAGGCCATCAATGAATAGTTATTAAGTCCAATTTCAAAAACGTAATCCCACTAGGAAAGGAGAGAAGGAAGAAAAGAAGGAATTGAAGGGAAGGGAAAGGAAGGGAAGAAGGAAGCAGAGCTTGGGTAACCTTTGTGCTCTCTACCTGCAATTTTAGTCTTTCCCTTCCTAGGCACATGGTTGCATCCCACTTCCTGACCCCTTGGAAGTCAGGCGCGTGTTTGGCTTCTAACGTATGACAGATGAAGCATGTCACTTTCTGGTGGCCAAACCTAAGATCTAAGGTGTGATTCTTTCGGCTCTGGCAAGCAGCACTATTCCAGATGGGGAAGGCAGCATCCGTGGCTGAGAGCAAATCAAGCATGGCTCCCTGCCAGCCCAGCGAGGACATTCTATTCTGCGTGAGCAAAAAATAAATCTTTATAGTTTTAAATGATAAAAAGCAGGGGCTGTGTGTTATTATAATACAACAGAGCCTTTCCTAAATGATAGAAAACAGCAAGAGTATGTCTTCAGCAGTGAGAATATACATGAATTTTCTTTTCTTCTTTCTTGTCTTTCTCTGTTTTCTAGTTTTTCAAAAAATTTTTAAATCTATTTTTGACGTTTCTAGAATGGGTATTATTTCTGTCTTAAGGAAATAAATTCATTTAAAATAAACTGAGGGACAAAATTTATGATTTGTATATGCTTATAATTTGAGATGATGTTATATTTTTACTGAGAGATGCATGAAATGTAGAGAAATTGACACCATTTTCTTGAACCTAGGGTATGTTTTAGCACATATTCACTCTGACAACGTGTTACACTGTCATTGAATCCTGGCCTGTCATCTTGAGACAGATCTGTTCCAGACCCTAAGAAATGCAACTCAGTATGGATAGTGGACCACTGAGGTCTTTGGAGACATTTTCCCTTTATCTGTGGTTTGCTTCCCTCTATCTGTGGTTTGCTAATGAGACCAGGAAACACCACCAACAAGATAGTCATTGCTTCTAAGAGGGTTGTGTTGGCTAACTTTTCCTTCCCTCATCTTTCCCTGGCACAACACACACACACACACACACACACACACACACACACACACACACTTCATTATTAATAACGTGGTCAGGCTCATTTGAGAATACCAGAACATTTGCACATTGTCTTTATTAGGTAAGAGGCAGTTTCATTTGAATCTTTTAGAGAGACCTAAAGTGAAGTGATCCTGTTTCCACTTTGCCCCAAACCTAAGACCTCTGAGGCACAGGATTTTTACGTGCATGTATCTGCACATAGTTGCTGGCTGACCTGGATGAGATCGATAAAATTCCATGCCTTCAAGCTGGCAGACTTGAAGCCAGGGCCAACCTAGAGAGAATTGACTGGGTCTCAGCCCTGTGATTTTTTTTTTTTTTCAACCTTCTCTGACACAAACCGAAGAGAGTTTTGATGTCTTTGATGATTGAGTTTCCATGGACTAAAACTAAGAGTCTCTAGATATTTTAAAAAAGTCTAATGTTTTCTTTAAGATTTTGCCCACTGCCTCTAGAGTATTATTTACAGAGTTTTCTTCCACTTTACTAACGTAAAAATGTGTAACACAATAGATTCTCAATAGAAATAAAAGCCCTGTTGTTGGTCCTCTTAGAAAAAGATGGTAAAGCCCTGGTTTTATAGATAAACCCTTTGTAGTACCCTCCTCATCTTCTATAGTCCTTCAGAACCCATGCTCAGTATGGGATAATGAGTTTTATTTCTGAATAACAAGTTCAAAAGGACCAAAAAGAGTAAGGTTAGTATTTAGCACTTTTTGTTAAGGGAAAACTCTGGGGAATGATCTTTTTTGAAGGCACCAAAGAACTTTTAGATCCCAAACTACCCTAACAGAGAAAAGACAGCCTTATTAAAATCTTTTACATATCTAAAATTAGATTTGGAATAATGAGAGATTATGACACATGTACAAATTAATAAAAAAAAACAGCCTTGCCACCCTTACTTGGTGGTTTCATTAAGTTTTTAAAAATAAAATAAATTTAAAAATATATACCGTCCCACACAAAGACTTTTAATCAAATTGTCTGGTTTATCTTCAAAATATGCAATTCCTTTGTACTCTGTAAAACATCTAGATAG